GCTGGGGACGGAGCTCATAGCTGGCCCTGTCTGCGTGGTGCTGCGGACTGAGCTCACGGCTGGCCCTGTCTACGTGGTGCTGTGGACTGAGCTCACACCAGCCCGGTCTATGCAGCGCTGGGGACGGAGCTCATAGCTGGCCCTGTCTGCGTGGTGCTGCGGACTGAGCTCACACCAGCCCGGTCTGTGCAGTGCTGGGGACGGAGCTCACACCAGCCCGGTCTGTGCGGTGCTGTGGACGGAGCTCATGGCTGGCCCTGACCGTGCAGTGCTGCGGACTGACTTACACTGGCCCTGTCGGTGAGGTGCTGTGAGAGAGACAGAGAGCGAGGAGAGAAGGAGAAAAAGTGTGAAATCGGCCTTTAAAGGAGATGGCCATGCTGCAGCCCCTTATCCATTCTCCTCTCAGGATTTCGGGTACTTGTGCACACACCCCTGACATGTCTTTTAAGCTGCTGGATCTGGGACTTGAACTGCAGAGTCGGCCATCTGGAATCCAGCTGCCTTAACCATCATGCTGGTCCCGTCACTTGGCTCTTTTAACTGCAATCAAACCTGTTACAGGTCAGTGTATCTCTGCCCCAGCGAGCCCAGACCCGTGGCAGTGTCCTGCAGACAGACATCAGCTTTGCAGCCCTCAGAGCCACCTCGGGATCTCACCACTCCCTCCCTTCACACAACTCCCTTCACTAGGCCCTCTCCCTAGTGCCCTCTGGCCTGGCCCTGCCTAGAAAACTCCCACTCCCCCTTCACCTCTTGAACTCATCATTTTACCCACCACATTGGTCCTGGGGATGGCTGCACGCTGGCTGAGGGGTTTGAGATGGCCTGCCCCACCATGCAGGGTGTGCGTAAGAGCCTAGATGGAGGTCCTCTCCCTTCCCAGATGGAGACAGATCACATGCCCCAGCTGATGCCCACCTTCCTGCTGCTGAGATGCTGGCTTTGGGTTCAAACACTCCTCCTCTGTTCTTCTCGTGGTCCCCATAGACTGACTGTTCTTTGCCATAAGCTGACCAACCGCCTACCTCCCAGGGCTCAGTACTTTGAGTTTGAAAGGCAGGAAAGTTCTGGGCGAAAGGAGAAAGGATTGTCACCTTGGCTGTCCTCTCAGTGCCCGGCCCATGACAGGTATAAAACTAGCACTCAGGCTGGCCCATAGCCTAATGGCGAAGGGGCTGAATCCCACATGGCCCACCTCATTGAAATCCTGGTCGCAGTGGCTTGAAAAGCACACCAGGTGTGTGTGCATGTGTGCCCCAAACCCCGACAGGGTGGAGGAATGGAGGAGAAGGAACCGTGGTGTTGCCTTGTCCCATCGGGAGTGCTTTCTCCCCCTCGGTGAACATACACACCACCTGGTGAAAACAAGCAAACAAAATGAATTAGCATCGGACAAATGCCTGTGAGTGCGCATCAGGTGGCCGCGGGGCAGAAGGGTACATTCCCCACCGCAGTAACGGCTGTTTACGGGGACTCCCACGGTATCTGCAGCACTCCCTACCTAACAAAGGCAGAGAGAGTGGACAAGATGGACACGGTGAGACTGACAGATGCAAAGGTGTGTGCTACTAGCAATGTTCTCAAGCCAGCAGGTGGCGTGGTGGTTAGGTCGCTGAACTCCCATATGGCTGACTGTGGTTCAAGACCTGGTGGCTTGAAACTCATGCCTGGTATGAGTGTGTATGCTCACCCAAAATCTCTAGAAGTGATTGTGGTGTAGCCGTCCCCCCTGGGGGGGGTGATTTCTCACTTTCTCTCTCTCTGTCTCTCTCCAGTTAAGTGTACACACCTTGTGGCAAAAAACTATTATTATTATTATTATTTTAGTTAAATTAAAAAAACTAAGGGTCCTGATGCTGGTCCCCAAAAGTCTCCCCAAGCCAGCATCCACCCCTCAAACTGAACCTCATTCTCCTCTCTCAGGCTCACGGGAGCAAGGGCCGAGCTCCCCGAGCACTTCCACTCACATCTCTTTGGGGGCTGCAGGTGGGGCCGTTGACGACCCCCTTCCAGGCCCACTGCCTCTGCAACCACCTCACCTTCTTTGGAAGCACGTTCCTGGTGATGCCCAATGCCATCGACGTCCGCCAGACCACTGAGCTCTTTGCCACGTTTGAGGACAACCCTGTGGTGGTAACTGCTGTGGGCTGCCTCTGCGTGGCCTACGTGCTGGCGGTGATCTGGGCGAGGAGGAAGGATGCTCGAGATCAGGCTAAGGTGAGGTTGCCTGATCCCAGGCGTGGGAGGGGGGCGGCAGGGGTGTCCCTCTGCAGGAGCTCTGGGTGGGGGACTGGAAGTCTAGCTCTAGCCCAGGCTGGGGTTGTGTCAAACTGGCCCCTCAGCCTCTCCGTCTGCACAATTTGTTATCATCAAATTATCAGGGGGATTATGTTACTAACCGTTTAATGGAGATTTGCCACAAGCTAGGCATTACCCCCACTTAATGTTCACAGCAGCCCCATGACAAGGGTACCTGTGTTGGGGGTTCCCAAGACCACTCTCAGCTTCGATGATTTGCTAGAAGGACTCAGAACTCAGAAAAGCTGTTGAAGTCGTGGTCATGGTTTATCACAGCGAGAGGACGCAGGTGAAAATCAGCAAGGTTTCAAGGAGAGAGTAAACGCGAGCTCTGGCTGCCTCTCTGGGTGGAGGCGTGTGGACAGTGCTCGCTCCTCCCAACAATGCTGTGTGACAACAACACACACCAAGCGTTGCCAGCCAGGGGAGCTCACCCGGGCCCCAGGGACCAGCCACATAGGCTTGGAGTTCCTGTCTGTCTGGCCTTAGTTACTCAGTCTCCAGCCTCCGCCAGCAGAAGGCAAATGGAGACCACGCGGCCCAAGATCCCAGCAGAAACCACATTGTCAGCATAGGCTATCTGGTGTGGCCTGGGGCCCCAGGGTTAGAAAAACTCATTGCACAGAGTATTCCAAAGGCTTATAGGCAACCTCCCAGGGCTCGCCAACAGCCAGTCTATAACTCGAAATGAGCAGTTTGCACACCCTACGCTTGCTGAGTTCACGCTTTACCGTGTAGACCTTAACGGGCAAGATCAAAAGGGCAATGAGTTGGTCTAAAGCCATGCAGCAGGAGCCGGAATTTAAACCCAGGTCTGCCGGAGCATTAGACAGGTCTGAGGCTAGAAACAAGATAAAAAACAAACTGTGCAACAAATTGTTTGCAGAAACAAAATCTCGTTTTTTTCCACCATGTCTGACACAGCAGGCCTTTTGTAACTACAAATTCGTGAACGCCTGCAGAAACACGTGTTGTCATAGAGCTCTGAAACTCCCTTGTCACCCCCCACACCGACACCACTCGGGATGTTAACAGGGGCTAAAACAAGTTAATAATTTCAGCGTTTGCACTGCTGGCTTTGACTCACCCACAGAGTTCCACATCACTGCTCTAAGGGCTCGGCCGTAGGTGAGTGCCCGAGAAGCCGACTCTGAGATACAGTTCGTGTGTAGGGTATTTGCTGACAGTTCCTGGGGTCACCTCTGGGAGGGAGCTGGGTGAGCATAGCCCACTGACAGCCCAGCCAACCCTTCAGGGAGCTCTGGAACTGTCCCAGGCTGGGCTGAGATGCCAGGTCTTATCAGACCCAGACACCACACCAATTGGTCACTGGATGATGGCTGCCTCAAGAGGACACAGCCTCAGCAGAAGCGGATGGACCCTATTAGTGTCATACCCTGGACCCTATTAGTGTCACCCCATCAACAGGGACAAGCCCTCTACTGGATGGAGATCTGGGTGGCGATCTCAGAGTTCTCTGCAGCCTCCGACCAACTCTGGCTAATCCTTTTTATTTTATCTTTCTTGGTAAACCATCTTCGTATTTCACTCCTTTTGAATCACCTGAGACGCACTGTGGTTTCCAACGTTACAGAAATGATGTGCGAATCAGGCTGACGTGGCTCCCCAGATCGAACCTGGAAAATTCTCGGCCTCATACCAAGTCACTTCCCGTTGAGCTACGTGGGGTTATATTTAAGGAAGAATGGACTTTGTACTTTTGTATCTTACCAAGATTTTCTACTTGAAAACCTGCTTTTGTCAGGAATAGTTCTCATCTGATGGGATGAATAAATACAAGGGTATTTTTTAAAGTTCATGCAAAATGAAGTTAGTGTAAGAGTTTATTTTGTGCAGAGTAAATTTAAAACCATGCATAGTTTTTTCATAATATGCATTTTCCATAAAAACGTTTCCAGACTTCTTGCAGGAGACGTAATTTTGCCTTTGCCCTTCAATCTTCATGGCTGCCCAGCTCATTCTTGGCTGGTGTGCGAAGGGTGAGCCCGTGAGCAGGGCCCTCCTAACTCTGTCCTTCTGTCCAGGTGAAGGTCACAGTGCTGGAGGACAACGATCCCTTTGCCCAGTACCACTACCTGGTGACGGTCTACACCGGACACCGGCGAGGGGCAGCCACGTCCTCTAAGGTACCTGACCATGCGAGTCCCCCAGGTGACCTGCAAACCCACTCAGCAAACGGCTGATCTGCTGTGGTAATGACTGTAGCCACAGTGGATGTTACGTGTTGGGTTGTTTTTTTCCCTCTTAGTTTTTGAGTTTTAGAGGAATCTTTTTGTCAACCAAAACATCACCTTCAGCCTCATATTAAAAAAGATAAAGAAGGAATTGGTTAAGAGGGGGTGGGGCCTAGCCCACGTGCCTACTGGTCATCTCCCTTTTGGCTACCCAAGAATAACTCAGACACTTTGGCACCTGCAAGCAAGCCTGGTGGTGGGTGGAGCCAGGCAGTAAGCTTTTATCAGTGGCTAATTTGGAAAGGGGAATTTATAATACAGAAGGGTGAAAGGAAAGAAAGAAAATGTATCAAGCATCTGAAAATGATGAGCCTAGAATTACATTTTTAGGTAGACAGGTTAGCTGGTCTCTAGGCAGGGTGTCAGTCCTTGGGCCAGCTAGCCAGGGGTACTGGAAAAACTATTTCAGTCATTTATGGACTCTGAGATCCTCGAGTGTCTGTTTAGCTGCAGGGCAAGTGACAGGCTGTCTCTGTAGGTCTCAGCGTGCTTGGTTAGAATTCATCAAGAGTACAACGTCCCTTGTAGCAGCCTCCAGGGTTCCCTTGCTGAAAGTCAGGACTCCTCGGAACACAGTTTGACAACCACTGGCACTGTGTATACACAGTCCTGGAGAAAATGCCATTGTCTTCAGAAATAACATTGGGCTTCAGGACAGCAAGGTTTTTATTTCTCTTTAAATTTTTATTATTTTTTATCTTCTTCTTCTTTTTTTAATAGTGATCTTTGCTATAGCACATCTCCTTGCTAGAGACAGAAAGAAAATGAGAAACCACTCCAAAGGAGGATGACCACACTGCAATCCCTTCTCCTCCATTCTCTTCTCGGAATTTTGGGCACGCACGCACACAGTGCCCAGCCTGTTTCAAGTCTCCAGGTCTAGGACTTGAACTACAGTCAATGAGAGTTCAAGTGCTTCAATTACCATGCCACCTATTGGCTCCTATTTTTTATCTTTACTTATGTGTATTTATATATATTTTTTAATTAAAAAAAAGTTTACCTAGTGCTGTGTCTTTGATCCTAGACCAGCTGTCTAATCCAGAGCAAGTGTTGGGTGACTATTTGTTGAGTAACATAGGTGGCACATTCACCCATGTCGCAACACATCCGTCTCACCTCTGATCGACACTGACACGTCAGTCACCATAGGGGGCAGCACCCTCTGACCCACAGGCTTTCTCCCTGTGGAGAGCCATAGTCACACTTCAGCTTGGTGTCTTGCTTTGGGTTACCCTAGAACAGTGGTGCTCAGCTAGGGGTGACATTGCCCCCAGGGGGCAGTGGCAGTGTTGGAGGTATTTTGTTTGTCACGGCGTTGGGCAGGTGGTGCTCTTGGGATCTATGGGCAGAGACAGCCTATGATGCACAGCGTACCCCCTTCCCCACCCCCTCTGTCTCTCTCTGGTGAGCACACGTGCCCTGTAGTAAATTTTAAAATAATGATAAGTAAAATTAAATACATAATTCTTTTTAAAAATAAATATACTGGGAGTTTGAAGAGCTCAGCAGGGGGGTCAGCAGCTGATGTAGTGTTTCAGGTGCTAGATGCCCACATAGCCCACCGTGGTTCGAGTCCCAGACCTGGCAGCTTGCTTTCTCACTTACTCTCCCTCTTTCTTTCTCTCTCTCTCTGGTGAACGTACATGCCCTATAGCAAATTTTTAAAATAAATAAATAAAATTAAATAATTCTAAAAATCAAGGGTGAAAAAAAGCTTAGCAGGAAGCATTTTATGAGTATAACTTCTCTTGAAGACATGAATGCAGGTGGGACCAGCAGTTAGCGTAATGGCTATGTCACTGAACTCCCATGTAGTCGACGGCGGTTCGCGTCCCGAACCCGGTGGCTTAAAACTCACGCCAGGCGTGTGTGCGTGAGTGCCCAAGATCCCGAGAGGAGACTGGAGGAGAAGGGATTGTGGCATGGACATCCCCCCTGGGGGGTGATTTCTCGCTTTCTGTCTCTCTGTCTCTCTGTCTGTCTGGCGAGCGCACGCGCCCTATAGCAAAAACCTCTCCCCCCAAAAAAACGACATGAATGCAGGGAGCACCATCCCAAACCTGCACACAACTGGAAAAAGTAATGTGGGCAGGTCCAGGGTGGGAGAAGAGGAGAAGGCAAAGGCCACAAGTCACTGGTTTGCCTTTGTTTCTGGCCACTTTTGGTGGCAAGGCTGGAGGGGCTCAGTTCGCCAGTGGAGGTGGCCACTTCTGGTTTCTGGATTTCAGGTGACTGTCACTCTGTATGGCCTGGATGGAGAGAGCGAGCCCCACCACCTGTCAGACCCCGACACCCCAGTATTTGAGCGAGGAGGAGTGGATGTCTTCCTGCTCTCCACCCGGTTTCCCCTGGGGGAACTGCGAAGCCTCAGGCTGTGGCATGACAACTCAGGGGACCGGCCATCCTGGTGAGTCAGGGGTAGGCAAACCAGGAGGCCTACAGAGCATCAGCCCCAAGTACATCTGCTGCCTCCCCGGTCCTCTCAAGCCTCTGCAGGACACGGAGAATGGATCTCCATGTCACCGATAAGAAAACTGACGGTCCAAGGGGCCCACTGGTTCACGGTCTACACACGCCCAGTCACTGTCCAGGAGTTGCTGCCTGGGGTCTAGTGCCAGCCCCACTCTCAGCCCTTCTGCAACATCGACCTGTGACCTGCCCAAAGGGACACAAGTGTGAGGCAAAGTCCTCCCCATCCTCTGTAAAGCCCAGGCTAGTGACCCAGAGGGGTGGTGCCCATCAGACCAGCATTCACACTGCTGTCTAGCTCACCCGCAGGGTCCATTGGAGATACCTTGAGTACCGCAGTCACACACTGAGCAGGCTCAGCAACGGTGTCGGAGGTGCAGGGTGCTTATTAAGGGGCGGCTGGGTTGGCACTGGGAAAGAGGAAGGAGGCAGGAAGGGCAGCCGAATGACCCTTGGGGAGCTCTGAAACTGTCCTGAGTTTCATAGAAATAGTTTTGATCACATCAGCCACTGTGTCACTGGATGATTGACACCCAGGTGGGCTTGTGACCTTGACCTAGGTGGCCTTTCCCTCCCTGATGAGGATGTCCTCCTTGACATGAGAAAATGCATGTCAAGAGCATCTTAGCATAGTCCCCACTGGGCAGCACCTGCTCGGTGCTGGGGGCTGGGGGTGGCAGTGTGGGTGGCAGTATTGCTCCTGCCAGCTGCACGGTGACAGGGAGAACTGCTGCTGGATCTGACATGCCAGGACAGGCAAGGTGGTCCCATTTCTTCCCTCGACCTCAAAGACCTAAATCACATCAGATGACACCAGAGTCCTAAGCCCCAGACAGGCGGAAACCAGAGGGTCGTGTCCTGTGCTCCCACCTGCACCTGCCGTGCACACGCCATGGCTGCCTTGGTTGTACACACCGGCCCTGGGGTGGTGCTATGTGTAGGGTTAACCGTTTCCGATGCACCCCCTTGCAGCATATGTGTGAAAACAGGTTAGTTCTACACTAGCTGAACTCCCCACAGGAGATCAATTCTGATTAAGGTGCAAGAATAATGAAGAAAACAGTCCTCTTTCTGGAGCTCCTGTTCTTGGGGTCCAATTTTGCAGAAGTATTACCTTCACGGTGTCTGAGGGAGTCTCAGCCCCCTGCCTCCCTTCCCCAGGTACGTGGGCCGGGTGCTGGTCCACGACCTGGCAATGGATCGGAAGTGGTATTTCCTCTGCAACTCGTGGCTGTCCATCGACACTGGAGACTGTGTCCTCGACAAGGCATTTGCAGTGGCCACCGAGCAGGACAGGAGACAATTCAGGTACCTTGTTTTCTTTTTACCCAAATGCTCTCGATTTAGTGCTCTCAGCTCAAGGGCAGTTGCGTCACCACCCAGCTGCAGTCATGGGCCTGGGTGTCCTCAAGTGTGGCAGTAACGACTTGTGAGTCATTTACCAGCTGGGAGTGAGGGCCCCGGAGGGCTCCAAGGCAGAGTTGTCCACCAGGTGGTGAAGATGGTAGGGCCAGCCGGGCACAGCTGCTCATCAGAGCCACAGAGCCGTGTCCTTTGCACCGGTGAATAGACCAATTGGAATGGCGACTCAGTGTCTAGCCACGCCAGGCTCCTTTTTTGTGTAGTTTTACCTATGTGGGTCCTTTGGGTCACTCCCTTCCCTATGCCCTTACCTGTTGGGTACCCTCCTTCCATGCCAGTCTCCAAACAGAGGGAAGCAGAAACCAACATATACACATGCACACACACGTGCTCAACTCCATAGAACGTTGTTTATAGCTTTCAAAATGGCACGTGACACTAATTGTGGAGCTTTCTTTCTTTAATAGGAAAACATGAACGTCATTTTGGAGAACATGTTTGTGTCAAACTCTCTCTTTATTGGTGTCTTAATATGGGGGCGGGGACTTCAGAAAGTGTGGGAAACAGGATTAAAGTACAGCTTATTTTGCTGCAAAGAGTTTGAAATCCACACGTAGGTTTTTCATAGTATGCATTTTTCTACCGACTTTTTGAGGACCCCTTTTTATGATAAAGCTTAGGGACACACCCTTCTTTCTCTTCCTCCCTCTCACCCCTGGATTGCTCCAAAGAGACCTGCCTCTTCCTGCTCCATCTCCCTAAATGCCTGTCGCTCTCTCCCCACCTGCCCACAGCCACCTGTTCTTCATGAAGACCTCCGTGGGCTTCCAGGATGGACACCTGTGGTATTCCGTCTTCAGCCGCTCAGCCCGGAGCAGTTTCACCTGTGTCCAGAGGGTGTCCTGCTGCTTCTCCCTGCTCCTGTGCACCATGCTGACCAGCATTATGTTCTGGGGTGTCCCCAAGGACCCAGCTGAGCAAAAGATGGACTTGGGTAATTCCATTGTCACAGGGGTCAGGCTAGCGGCTGGTAGACATGAACCCTCCCAGCCCAGCAGTGCTACCGTGATTCCAAGTTCACCTTCAAGTTCAATGGTTTGCTAGGAGGACAGGCGGGACTCGGAAAGGCCATTGTACTCACAGTTTGGTGCCGTGAAAGGAAACAGACCAATGCTCCGTCAGGCCTTGGTATCCAGGGTTTTTACTGGAGCTCAGTCGTGTTGACAGGGGTGACTCCCCTTCACCTCCAGCTCCTCCAGAGGTCAAGCTGACACAGGTGGCCCAGGCCCCACTGTGAATCCCGTTGTTAGTATAGACCGTCCATATGAGGCTAATCCCACATGGCACAGCCACTCTGGATGGCGTGGAGGGGACTGGGCTCTGGAAAATCACCCTCCCTTTGATCCACCTCTGCCTTTGCCCAGGTAAGATCGAATTCACGTGGCAGGAAGTGATGATCGGACTGGAGAGCTCCATCCTCATGTTCCCCATCAACCTCCTCATCGTGCAGATCTTTCGAAACACCCGTCCCCGGGCCACCAAGGAGCAGAACACTGGGACAGGGAGCCAGGGGTCCCCCAATCTGACCCCCTCACCGCAGCCCACGGAGGATGGCCTTCTGACGCCTGAAGCAGTGACCAAGGCATGTCCTCAGCCTCGGCTAGTGTGTGTGTGTGTATGGGGGGGTGCCCTCACCTCAGCAGAAGTGGGGGTATAGACTGTGCTTGGGCCTGTGTTGTCTGACAGTATCAGTTGCCAAGATTCACAAGTAAATATAGACATGCATGCACTCAAGCACATGCATACATATACTTGCATGTCTATAGACACACATGCACATAGACATATTCACATACATATGTTCACTCACGAACATAGGTATTGATGTGCATGCACGCGTATACACATGTGCACAGGCACGTATCTGCATGTCTACTCATACATGCACATACATATGCACATGAACACATGTGTGTATAAAGACACATGCAGATAGGTACATATGCATGTGTACACAGAAACATAGTCATATACATGTGCACTCAAACACTTTAAAAATTTTTTTTGCCATAGGACACGTGCACTCAGGAGAGAGAAGAGAAGTGAGAAATCACTCCCAGGGAGATGGCCACGCTACAGTCCCTTCTCCATTCTCCATTCTCCTCTTGGGACTTTGAGCACACATGCCCAGCGTATTTTTCAAGCAGCAGAAGTGGGGGTATAGACTGTGCTTGGGCCTGTGTTGTCTGACAGTATCAGTTGCCAAGATTCACAAGTAAATATAGACATGCATGCACTCAAGCACATGCATACATATACTTGCATGTCTATAGACACACATGCACATAGACATATTCACATACATATGTTCACTCACGAACATAGGTATTGATGTGCATGCACGCGTATACACATGTGCACAGGCACGTATCTGCATGTCTACTCATACATGCACATACATATGCACATGAACACATGTGTGTGTATAAAGACACATGCAGATAGGTACATATGCATGTGTACACAGAAACATAGTCATATACATGTGCACTCAAACACTTTAAAAATTTTTTTTGCCATAGGACACGTGCACTCAGGAGAGAGAAGAGAAGTGAGAAATCACTCCCAGGGAGATGGCCACGCTACAGTCCCTTCTCCATTCTCCATTCTCCTCTTGGGACTTTGAGCACACATGCCCAGCGTATTTTTCAAGCCACTGGGTCCAGGACTGGAATTACAGTCAGCCATGTTGGACCCAGAGCCCATTTCTGGCCCCCTACGCATATTTTTAAAGCACCTACCACGTACAAAATGTACCCTCATATACACTCTCAGGCTGGAAGCCCCTAGACCAGACGCCTTCCTCTGCCTTCATACACTCGATAAGCTTTCTTGGAGCACCCGCTGCTCCACGCTTTGAGGAATACGGCCTGGAATGGGTCAGTTCAAACCCTAGGAGAATTTTGGAGATGGCAGAATAAAAGCCAGAGAGGTGGGGGTTGCTATCATGTCTCAGCGGGCAGAGCTGGGGTTCTGCACAGCTCGCCAGAGCCAGGGCACGTGGTCATGTGTCCTGTGCTGTGCCCCTCACCTGTGGCTCCCATCCCTCTCCTCACCTGGGTCGCTTGCAGGACACGCAGAGACTGGTCAGCTCTCTGTTTAAAGCCCTGAAGGTGCCACTCCCTCCCTCGGGCTGGGACTCGCTCGGTGCAGTGGACATCGACAATCTCCTGGCCTTGGTGGAAGACGTCATTTGCCCAGAGAACAAGGCAGACCCAGTGCTCTGGGAGAAAGTGAGAAGAGAGGACCCTCTGCCACTCACTCTTGTGTCTGTGCGAGAGAAACGTAAGTCCTGGACGTTTCCATGCCAAGAGACGTGGCACTTTAGAGCCAGGTAGGGACATGAGAAAGGGCATGTTGATATCACTAGGGGACAAGAAGACATGCTGGGGTCTCCCTCATCAGCTTTTGCTTGAACCACCTGCTGTCACCCTCCCTTCTGTACACAGGTACCATGCTGTCCTCACAATGCCAAGCTGCCTTCCCACTAAGGGCCTTTACATATGCTGCTCCTTTAGTCTAGAATGTTCCTTTTCTCTTTGGCCAATTTCTACTCAAACTGTAGTCTGTCTTAAGCCTCTCTTCTTCAGGAGAGTGATCCAAACCTCCCACACTACAACAGGGCTTCCAGACACATGAGCTTTTGCCCCTAAGCTTCTCCTTGCGTTCAACCTGTTTGTGGCCAAATAATAACTGTGCAAGGGTTGACCGTCTTCCTCGTCCTTCCTGAAATGTGAGCTCCCTGAGGTGGAGCCACCACCCCTCTTGTCTCCACTCAGAACCGTCTCTGGGCACCGGCTCTGCTGTCGACCACCCACGTGTGTGACCTCGGCTGCCTCAGTTCTCCAGCCATGTTGACCATGGGGGTGCCCAGCACCTTAACCACCATGCCACCTGCCAGCCCCAATACCGCTCTTAACGCTTGCTAATCTCTGTTCGGCAGAGATAGCAAGTCTCAAATTCAGTCTTTCACAACAATATTCGGATAAAGTTTAGTAACATAGTTTCATTTTAATTAAGTATGGGGACTGTGGCTGGCCCTTTCCACTGAAGGGTGCTCTCACTTTCCCTCTCTCTCACTTTCTCTCTCTCCCTGTCTCTCTCTCCATGTCTCTCTCATGAGTGTAAACACTCTATAGTAAATTTTTAAAAAATGTTTTTAAAGAGAGAAATTTTTAGGGGCCAGCAGATGGTGTAGCCTTTGTGACCCTGGTCTCCCACATGGCTGACCGTGGTTTGAGTCCTGGACCCAGTGACTTGAAACTCATGCCAGGCACATGTGCATGCATGCCTAAGATCTCAGGAGGAGAAAGGAGAAGGGATTGCGGCGTGGCCATCTCCCTGGGAGGTGATTTCTCACTTTCCCTTTCACTGTCTTCTCTCTCTCTCTCTCTCTCTTTGTCCCTGGACAAGCACATGCATCCTATTTATTTATTTTTATTTTATTTACATTCAAGTCTTTGCAGATGAGATAATGCTATGTCTAGGATCTGCTTTAAATTAGTCTGGCGGTGGAGCTGGGAAGTTGGAAGGCAAAGATGAGACAAGATTGGCCAAATGTTGGGTGATCGCTATGCCGGATAACAGATAGGGTATTCTCTTGTCTCTCTGTAAGGACATTCTGAAGACATCCCTAATAAAAACCTAGAAAGGAAACCTTCAAATTCCTACTGGCTGTGTAACCCTCACCCTATCTCTGAATCTCAGCAAGGGTTCGATCCCCGAAAGCTGCTGGTTTTTTTTTTTTTTGGAGAGATTTTCACTGTAGGGCGCGTGCGCTCGCCAGACAGACAGAGAGAGACATAGAGACAGAAAGCGAGAAATCACCCCCCAGGGGGGATGGTCACGCCGCAATCCCTTCTCCTCCATTCTCCTCTCGGGATCTTGGGCACGCACGCACACGCACCCGGCGTGAGTTTTAAGCCACCGGGTCCGGGACACGAACCGCGGTCGACTACGTGGGAGTCCAGCGACATAGCCATTACGCTAACTGCTGGTTCCCAAAAGCTGCTGTTTTTGTAGCTGGTCTGCTCTCCACTTCACACCAGCTGATCTCTTAACCGCCCCCCACCTTCCTAGAGAAAGTGCAGCACTCCAAGCCCACAGTGGCCCGGAGAGGCCTTTGGAAGGACAGCACCTACGGGCAGTGTCTCTACCTCCAGCTGGAGCGCGTGGAGCAAGAGCTGCAGCTGGTGGGGCCCCATGGCTTCCCAAGGAGCCACAGTCACGCCCAGGCCCTCAGGAGGCTGCAGACGCTGAAGAGCTGCCTGAAAGCACAGCCAGGCGCCACCACCCTGGTCTGCACCAGGTAACCACTTCCTGGGTGGGAAGGACAGGCACTGACACCCCAGCCAGGGTCCGTGGGATGAAGGCATCTGGAACAAGCTGGGAAAGGTGTCCCCACAGACTCCCCACCCCACCCCCAGCGGAAGTGACCCTAGATGCCTGCGGCCATCCAGGGAGAGACACTGAGCCCTTTGTACGGCACTGTACTGTCGGTAACCGTGTTAGTGGGACTGTTTCCCAGCTGTGTGCCCTCAGACTGGTCCCTCAACCTCTCTGAGTCTTGGTTTCCTCAGCTGTAAAATGGAAGTGATAATGCCGTCTCCTGACTGAAACTTAAAAGGAATACAGTCATATGTCACTTAAGGAGCGGTTGTGTTCTGAAAAAGGTGCCATTAGGCGATTTCACAGCTGTGCAAGCGTGGCAGACCGGACTTCCGCCCAGCAGGTGGCGTCCGCCGCGGAACCTCTGCCGCACGGCCGCGTATACACGGTTTGCCATCGACCCAGAGGTCATTGTGCACCTGGGACTGTGTGTTTTCAGAGGTATCCAGGGACATTTGAGTACAGGCAGGTGTTTAGATGACGGTAGGAATTACTATGAACCCTGTTAGGTGTGGCAACAGCATAGTAATTCAGTAAGGAACTTTGAAATGCATTCTGGAGTAATTTGGGGTGATTTTGCATTATACCTGGAATTTCTTTTTAAATACTCCACCCCCCAGAAAGAGAGTGGGGACAGTGGCGTAACTATGACAACGAGGGTTGTTGAGACCTGCTGGTGAGCGCCTGGGGGTTTGTTGTACTTGCTACATTTTTTTATGATGAGAAATGTTTATAATAAAAATTTTTTAGTGCTCAAGTGGTTAATGGAACCAGATCCCACACGGTCAACCGTGGTATGAATCCTGGCCCCAGTGGCCTGAAAACATGCTGGGAACATGTGCCCCCATCCCCACAGGATGGACAGAGAAGTGGAGGGAAAGGGATGGCGGTGGGACCGTGCCCCTCTGCGAGATGCTTTCTCCCTCTCCCTCCCCGCCCCATCTCTGCCCACCATGTGCACCCTGGGGCAATTAAAAAACATTTTTTTTTTTTGAAAACCTGTGTAGTGCCTGCCTTCCAGGCTTACCATGAGGAATACCGAGGAAATGTTAGCAGTGAGCCCTGAATAGATGAGGCCTTGTGCTTGATAGACAAGTACAAGAACAGCCCTTTGAGGTAGGTGGGGCAGCAGAGAGGAAAACTGAGGGTCCGAGAGGCCCAGGAGCTGGGCCAAGGTCACGCAGCTGATGGGGATGAGACGCGGTGTGATTTCCACTTGAGTTCGCTGGTGCCATGCTCACTGTCAACCCACCCTCCTTTGCAGCCTCCCGCGGGCGAGCAAGCCCCCTGGCGGCCTGCCCTGGTGGTGCGTCCTGGTGGGCTGGCTCCTGGTGGGGGCCACCAGCGGCGTGGCGGCCTTCTTCACCATGCTCTACGGCCTGCGCTACGGGCGGGCCAGCTCCCTCAGGTGGCTCATCTCCATGGCCGTGTCCTTCCTGGAGAGCGTGTTCATCACCCAGCCCCTGAAGGTCAGGACCCCGCCCTGAGGCTACTCTCCTCCCCTCCACCGGCCCTTCCCCAAGGACTCAGCCCTCCCTTCCTGCATTCAGCCAGCAAAGGAGCGGCCTCTGTGCAGGCCAGAAGGACTAGGATGATAATTCCGTATGCCCAAATTCTTGGACCCTCGCTCTAGATCTGGCCTGGAACCATTCTCCACCCTTAGGAGGCTCTTCTGGAGAGAAACCCTGGACCGGCAGATGGTGTCATTAGTCATGTCGCCGGACTATGTGGTTGATCGTGGTTTAAGTCCCAGATCTGGTGACTTAAACTCACACCGGGCGCATATGCGTGTGTGCTCAAGATCCTGAGAGGAGAATGGAGGAGAAGGGATTGCAGCGTGGCCATCCCCCCTGGGGAGTGATTTCTTGCTCTCTGGCTCTGCCTCTCCAGCGAGTATAGCCAAAATTTCTCTTAAAAAACAAAACCAGAAATCAAGGTCACAGACATCTTGCCCCTGACCACGTATGTCAGTGTGAAGAGGACCTGCTTTCTCAATTCTAAGATTTTTTTTTTAAACTGCAATCAGGAAATACGTTCTCAATTCTAAGATTTTTTTTTTAAACTGCAGTCATGAAATACAAATTTTATTATTTTTAATATATTTTTAAGTTCAAGAAAAGCAGTTTTAGCTTTAATAAAATAAAAAAAGTTAAGAAAAATTTGCTATGCTTTTGATAGTGAGATAGGACAGCAACTTAAAGGATTGTTCTCTTGGGAAAACCACCCGCCCAGCACAGCCCAGCACGTGCATGCATCAGCTAGAAGTTGTGCTCTGAGATGTCCAATCACGCGGCACCTTAGAGTCAGAGGACCACGCAGCCCTGGCCTGGGGCTGGGGTGGGGGAGGCGCCAAGAGAAGGCCATCCCTGGGAGTCGGGCTTTCCTTCCTGCCCTGGGGTGTGGGAAAGCTGCAGAGGGCAAGGGGCACTGAGGAGGATCTTTACACCCTTGTGCCATGGCCAAGCCCGCCACACCCATCCTGCCTTGGGTCTTCCATCCCTCCTGGACGCCTTTATGGTGAGACCCACAGACCTGACACCTTCCTCTGCCCCAGACCAGCCCGGAGGATCTGAAGAACAGGGTGTCCCAAGGCTTTCTGCTCCCCAGCAAACCACAGCCTCCCGCCACGGTGTGCTTGTGCTTAGCCCGTGCCCACTAGTGTGACAGTGTGCTACCTGCTTCAGGAAGAAGGGGAGGGGAGCCCAGGGGAGCAGAAATTCTTCAGACCAAGACGGGAGAGAGCTGGTAACAGGAGTGAGCAAGGGAGAAGGCTCCGGCCTTCAAGGACCCCCAGTCTCTCTCCACCAGGTCGGGAGCTTTGGTCCCCATTCCCCCTCACCACCTCCCCTCTCTACACTGTGGCCCCTGTCCCCAACCGCTCTCAGAGCAGGTGCACAGTTACCAGCCTGGGCTGGGCGTTCCCCTGGGTGTCTTCCAGGTTCTGGGCTTTGCTGCTTTCTTCGCACTGGTCTTGAAGAAAGGGGAAGATGAAGAGGAGACTGTGTCCCCCATGCTGGGCAGTCTGACCAGCCCAGGTAATGATGCTTCTGTGTGGGCAGAGGCCTGGCCAGCTGGTCCTCCTGGGCCACGGGAGCCCTGCAGAGTCTCAACTAGAGGATGGGAGGTCCTGAGCCTCAAGCCAGCTTCTCAGACCCTTGCTCCCATCAGATGTCCACCCGTTTGTCCATTGTCCACATACCAGCCAGAAAAAGTGACTCCATCTGGATAGCAGATGGTGTAACAGTTACATTGCTGGACACCCATGTAGTCAGCTGCGGTTCAAGTCCTGGACCCGGTGGTTTAAATTCACACAGGGCCCGTGTGCATGTATGTCCAAGATCCCGAGAGGAGAATGGAGGAGAAGGGATCGTGGCATGGCTATCCCCTCTGGGGGGTGATTTCTCGCTTTCTGTATTTCTGTCTCTCCAGCGAGTAGACGCACCCTATAGCAAAAATCTCTCAAAAAAAAAAAAAAATAGTGCCCCGTCACGGTCCCCTAGGTAGCCTTGCTCCTTCCCTGGCGACACTCGGGGACCTGCTCACAGCCCTGGCCGTCCTTCTCTGAGGATGCCAAACAGCAGCTTCCTCCTCTGAGACTCAGAATGCAAACCAAAACCAACAGCAAAAAGAATCAGCTTGCCAGTGCACTGAGAAAGGTGCCCACAGGGCTGGCTCTGTGGCCCAGTGGTTAAGGCAGCCAGGCCCGACATGGCTGAGCGTGCAGTTTGAGCCCCCTCCCTGCAGCCTGAGAAACACGCCAGGCACGTGTGTGTGTCCCCAGCATCTCACAAAGAGGGGGAGAAGGAAGAGAAGGGATCATGGTGCGACCATTCCCTGTGCGTGGTGCCTTTTCCTCCTGTCTCCATGTTCTCTCTGTCTGTCTCTGACAAGCACATATACCCTCTAACCAAAAAAAAAAAAAAAAAGTGACTATAAATTAGAGTTCTTGGAAAATGTTCATAAAATGTAGCCACTAGGCCAAGTCTAGCCCACCGCCGTGCTCACCCACAAAGGTCTATTGGAGCACAGCCTTACCGACCCCTGTTCAGGATGCCAGTGGCCAGTTCCCTTCCTCTGAGTTCTCATCCCCTGAGCAAAACGCCCAGCTGTGCCTGGGTAGGAGAACTGCGAAACCAAACAAGCAAACAAGACACAATCAATCGACACTCATAATTGAGTCTTGACTCTCAGGAGCAGACAAAAACCCACGCACATACCCCATTGTGCAGGGTGGTCACCTCCTCATGGCCCTGTGCCCTTCCATTCTAAGATAGGGCGTTGGCTTTGCAGATCCAAAACGTCCACTAAAATCTTCTTCCAAGAAAAAAGAGTAGTTTTTCTCCAAGATGCCAGTCTCTGGGCCCATTAAATATGCCTTCGGTCGTTTCTGTGGTGACTGTTCAAGAAGGACTGGCCATCTGCCAGGCAGTGTGGTGGTTTGGGGACATCATCTACACATTCTTCACCGTCACTTAATACAGCTGTCATCTGTAGGGCTCTATAGCCATCACCACAGTTCAGATTTACAATAGCTTCATCACCCCAAAGGCTCCCTCTTGCCCATCTGAATCAACCCCAGCAACACTGGCTGGACAGGGCGTTCGCTGCCCTCGGGATGAGCAGGCCCCGGCAGGAGAGGCCGTCACGCAGGTAAAGGCACAGTGGATGTGTCAGTGTGCTGCGATGAGAACTGGGTTTGGGGAAGAACGAGGGTGCAGGTCTCCCAGGTGATAAAATAGTCCCACAGCTTGATTGTGGTGATGGTGTCGAATTTATAAAAACCTTGAGCTGTAGGCACCCAGCGGGTGAGTTTTATGAAAATGATGGCTCAGTGCAATGGTTTGAAAAAGAAGACACTTGGGGCCAGCCAGTGGTGTGGTGGCGAATGTGGCTGGATCCCATGGGCTGACTCCACAATTGAGTCTGGCACCTGGAGACTTGGAAAACACTCCAGGGGTGTGTGTGTGCGTGCACGCCCCAAGTCCCGAGAGGAGAACGAGAAGGGATTGTGGAATGGCGGCCATCGCCCCAGGGCGGCGATGCCATCTCCTGTTCCCTCCCTCTCTCCCCTCCCCAGCCTCTCCTCTCTCAGGTGAGTGCACATGTCCTGTAACAAATTTTAAACTTTTTTTAAAAGAGGAAAAAAAGACACTTGGAGGTAGAAGTGACAGGACTTGGACATATTTGTCACCCTTACCCTCGTCTCTCATACTTTCGGAGGTGCCAGGACCATCGAGAAGTCAGTAAGGCTTCAGGGAGGGAAAGTGCTTATGCTTCGGGGGTGGGAGGATCTTCCAGATGAAGAAGGGACAGGACTTGGGCCCTGGAATATCCGAGTGGAGGCGCGGAGGAGACAGTTGGAGGTGGCGCTCAGGGAGAGGCCTGATGGCCCGTTGTGCCTGGTGAGAAAGGGACCACGGCTGCAGGCCTGGTCCCCTACCTGCTCGAGTGACTGCCCACTGCCCTTACTCCCACAGAGCCCCGTGCCTTTCTCCGAACACGAAGGAACAGCAACCAGGACACCTACCGGCCGCCCCTTCCCACCGCGGTAGAGAAGATGAAAGCCGCCCGCCTCAGGGGACAGAAGGCATTCGCCCTAATCCGAGAGATCTTGGGTAGGCAGCCCTCGGAGACCCTCCTGCTCACTGGTCTGGGCGCAGGCTTGAACACACACTTCCCGGAAGTCCGCTAAGTCCTGTGCTGCTTCTGGGCCTCAGTCTCCCCACCTGTCAACTCGCCCCAGCTTCTCCCTACCCTTAAATCCTCCGGTGGTCTTCACAGCCATAAGGACAAAGTCCTAACTCCCTCCTGTGGCTCAGTCCCCTCCTGGGCTCCTGTGCCCGGAGCTCTGATCATGCTGGGTTCTGTGGCTCCCGAAATCCCCACACCTGGCCCGACGCCAGGCCGTGGCCCAGCCATCCTGCTCAACGGTGCGGACCACACCTTTCCTCTGGCTGATTCCTCTGCTCCTTAGCCAAGATGTCTGGGCCCAGGAGCTCTCAGCCCTCGGCATGTGTGATAGCCCAGGTCTCTGGAAGCAGATTCGGGGCAGGTAGTTGATCTGAGAAGCCGTCCCAGGAATAGAGGAAGGGTGGGAAGTGCAGTGGGGAGGAAAGGAAGGGAGCCAGAGACGTGTGACAGGCAGGCTCCATGGGACAGCTGGGGACAGTCCCCCCGGGGGCCGTGGAGAGAGCATGCAGTGTACACCCCATGTCCTACTCCTTAGCTTCGGGGCCCTTCACGTCCTTGGGGGAGGGCCTCAGGATGCAGGTTCCTCGGCCCCAGGCTCGGAGACCCCCGTTCGCCAGGAATCCCACGCTCCGCACAGTCGTGACGTCAGACCTTCTAACCGACGACGTCCTCGCTCCTAACGGGCCCTTATGTCTCCCTCACTGCCTGCCACAGGCAGGCGGGCCCTGAGGGCAGGTGCACGTCTGTCTGTTCCCTCCTTCCTCCTCAGCAGGGCGGCTGGCCAGACACCCCGGTTCTGTAAAATGGGGTTTCAGAAACACTCATAAGCACAGAGGCTGGGGGACACTGTTTACAGTGCCTTGTAAAATCGATCCCCCTCACACCCTGCATCATAGAACTATATCGATCCCTCCTCACACCCTCTCCCAGGCATAGCACATGGTGTGGGGGTGAAGGCAGCTGCATCCCACAGAGCCAACTGTGAAGTTCGAGCCTCAAACTCCATGGCTTGAAAAACATGCCAGGCTCATGTGCCTGTGTGCTCCAAATCTCAAGAGGACAACAGAGGGGAAGGGATTGTGGTGGGGCTGGCCATCCCCCACAAGGGATGCTTTCTCACTTTCCTTCACTCTCTCTCCATCTCTGTCTCTAGTGAGCTCATGCATCCTATACCAACAAAAAAAAAAAAAAAAGAAAAAAAAGGAAAAATCCCCTCCATGGCTTACTCACCCCATCCCATTTCACAGACGAGGCAAGTAAGCCATGGAGGGGTTGAGTCACTTGCACAGGGCACAAAGATTGAAAGCGGCAGAGCTGGGATTTGAACCAGAGGAGTGAGAGACTGGTCTACAAGACCTCAGCAGTGCTGAGGCCATGCGCCATCCCATCCCTGCCCTGGACCCGAGGCCACGGGAGCAAGGGACCCTGCCTGACCAGGGCTGTACTTCCCCTCCCAGCCTACCTGGGCTTCCTGTGGATGCTGCTGCTGGTGGCCTATGGCCAGAGAGACCCCCACGCCTACCACTTCCACAGGCACCTCGAGCACAGCTTCACCCAAGGCTTGTCAGCAGTGCTGGGCTTTCGAGAGTTCTTCGAATGGGCCAACACCACCCTCGTGAGCAACCTCTACGGCCAACCCCCAGGTACAGTCCCCGCTGCAGGACACCCCTTGTGTGTACTTTTCTAGGAACAGGCGAGAATCCCCAGCACCATCGGCCTCCTAAGGGAGCCTGTAAGACCAATGCTTTGACAGAAAACCCCTCGGAGGGCTGTGCGTGGCCCTCCCCTCCCTGATGCAGCATGGAGAACTTCCTAAACTGGGTTACCCAAGCACAGACCAGCGAGGCTCACAGCATGTCCCAGGCAGATGGAACCACATGAGAAAGGCTGAGTGTGACCACCGGGGCACGTCCTTGGGACCTCGAAGCATTGATTGTGGCCACAGCATGGGATATGGAGTCAGGGCTTGTGAGAAGCAGAGCAGGAGAGATCCCGGGCCACATTATGAAGGATCTCAGAAGTCCTTCTTCATCCTCAAGGAAGTGAGGCATCATCGAGGGTTTCTACATGGGGAGTGACTTGAATCTGTGGTGCAGGGAGCACATGGAACAGAGCAGAGGCTGGGCAAGGAGGGCTGCTGGGGAGACATGACGGAGGCTGAGGCAGAGACGAGGGAGGTGGGGATGGAGAGGAGAGGATGGGTGCATAAAACATGGAAGAGCCAGAATTGCGGGGAGGTGGGGACCAGGTGCGAGAGCTGGGGGGAAGGGCCCTGACGGTGTCCAGGGCGAGCTGCCTGGTGGAGGGGTGCTCTTGCTCAGTTAAGTTATGCAAAAAGCTGAGCAGGTCCAAGGTGGAGAGGTGTGAGGTTGTCGGGGTGGACACGGTGCCTTGGTCTGTTTGCTGATGCTGTGAAAAAATACCACAGACTGGGCAATTGGTAGAAGAATTTGGTTCTGGAGGCTGGGAAGGCCAAGAGCACGGTGCCAGCATCTGGCGAGGCTCACCCACAGTAGGAGGTCGGAGGGCAAATGGGCACATGCAAGATGGAAAGGAAATCGGGCCAGTTCTCATTTTTTTCCCTTTTTTTTTTCTTAAGCTGCTTTCTTTCATGACTAAGACAGACAGAAAGAAACAGTGCCCCGACAGGGTCCTGATGCTGGAATCCACCTCCAGTCCCAGCCGACTCCAGATCATGGGTGTGCACACACCTGGCATGTTCAGGGAGTGCTCCAAACATGTGCCTGGAACCCTTCCGTATGGGTCAGCTCATCACCCTCCACTCAAACTCCTCCTCTTGACAGGAACCCCCTCCCACGATAATGGTATTCAATCACTATAAGGGCAGGGCCCTGTAACCTACTCACTTCTTAAAGGGCCTGAGTCAGCAGGTGGCATGGTGGTGAAGGTGCTGGATCCCACATGGGCAGCTCTGGGAATGTGCTCATGTGATGTTGATCACTAGATTCACCCTGCTGGTTTTTCACCTTCAGGCTTTGTCACTGATGGGAACTCCAAGCTGGTGGGCAGTGCCCAGATCCGCCAAGTGAGGGTCCGGGAAAGCTCCTGTCCTCTTGCCCAGCAGCTGCAGGCTTCTTTCACTGGATGCCATGCGCCATATTCCCTGGATGCCGAAGATCTGGAAGACTATGGGGAAGGCTGGAATGCCTCCGCCCTCAATAACAGCAATGGCTTTCCCTCGGCTTGGCAGTACCAGAGCCAGAGCCAACGTCAAGGGTATCCCATTTGGGGAAAACTCACTGTGTACCGGGGAGGAGGCTACGTGGTCCCCTTAGGGACTGATCACCAGAATGCATCGAGGTAAGGGCTGACCTGAGTCACCTGCAGCTGGGCAGAGCCCGTTTCTAGAGTCCATGTCTGGTTGGAGGATGTAGTTTTTGTAATGGACTGAGTCAAGTTCATTCAATTCATTGTGGGAAGGCCGGGGGGTGGGACTCAGTCATCCAGGTCTCCTGGAACTGGGCAGTTTTAAAGTTGAACAAAAGTCCCTCTCCAGCACTGTCAGCCTGGTGGTCTGAGCCTGCTATCTTCTGGTAGCACCAGCTTGGAGTTGGAGTTCTCAATACCACACAAAGCAGTCCATCCACTTTCAGGACAAGTGGAACATGGTTAGGGCTCTGTCAAAAACTGCAAGGCCTAGGGAACCAGCAGTTAGCGTAATGGCTATGTCGCTGGACTCCCACGTAGTCGACCGCGGTTCGCGTCCTGACCTGGTGGCTTAAAGCTCACACCGGGCACATGTGTGTGTGTGCCCAAGATTGCGAGAGGAGAATGGAGGAGAAGGGATTGCAGCGTGACCATCCCCCCTGGGGGGTGATTTCTTGCTTTCTGTCTCTCTCTGACTGTCTGGCGAGCACACGCGCCCTATGGCAAAAATCTCTCAAAAACAAAAAACAAAAAACAAAAAACTGCAAGGCCTGAGCTCTTACCCCACTGGTAAGCCAACAAACTAGCCCGTTTCTGTTTCACGGGTGTTGGCAGAAGACACCAGACTCCTGGGTCAGAGACAAAACATTTTATTACTCAGCAAAAGCAGTAGCAGAACATCATGTTGGTCTGAGTCAGCTCCCTGTAAAGGGCCTCGACAGATGCTGACATAGTACTCAACATTGAACTTCAGGCAGTCGCTGGCTTTATAGCAGCAGAAACAAACCTGCTCTTTGTTCAAAGGAAGATACCACCTCATCCCTTGAAGCTGCTTACCACAAATACAGCCCTGGGAAATGACCAGGGGAAGCACACCCAGGGCCTGGCATTCCT